TGGAAAGAGTATGAGATAATGATATACACCTCCAGAAGACAACATTCTCTCCTCTACAGGAGCGTTCTCCCACTTTGTATCTCAGCGAGCACAGCTTTCCCATTTGTCTCATGAATGTCGGACACTAGCACATCCATGCATTTCTATTAAGAAATGCATGCTGTGGTCTAGACTTGAAATCCTTTCAAATATAAATCCCTTAAAGTGGCAGGTTATATAGCAATAGAATAAACAAGTGCCCGCAGGAGTAACTATTGGTTAGTGTAGCCCAGGGTGGAGAGGGGGGATTACAATAACATTGTAGTGGCTGATAACCTTGGAGACAAAGTTACATCTACAATGAGTATACCCTCCACTTGTAAAGAGTCTGTTCAAGGGCTATCCTTGTTTCCCTCTGACCCAGGAGTCATCTTTCTTTTTTTTTAATTGTTTTATTAGGGGCTCATACAACTCTTATCACAATCCAGATCACATCATATCACATATCACATCAATTGTGCAAAGCACATTTGTACATTCATTGCCCTCATCATTCTCAAAACATTTGCTTTCCACCTAAGCCCCTGGCATCAGCTCCTCATTTTTTCCCTTCCCTCCTCACTCCCTTCTCCCCCATGAACTCTTGATAATTTACAAATTATTATTATGTCATATCTTGCACTGTCCAACATCTCCCTTCACTAACTCCTCTGCCATCTATCCCCCAGGGGAGGAAGTCATACATAGATCCTTGTAATCGGTTCCCCACTTTCAACCTACCCTCCTTCCACCCTCCCAGTATCACCACTCACACCACTGGTCCTGAAGGGATCATCCGCCCTGGACTCCCTGTGTTTCCAGCTCCCATCTGTACCAGTGTACATCCTTTGGTCTAGCCAGATGTGTAAGGTAGAATTGGGATCATAATAGTGGGGGGCGGGGAAGCATTTAGGAACTAGAGGAAAGTTGTATGTTTCTTTGTTGCTACATCGCACCCTAACTGGCTCGTCTCCTCCCCGAGACGCTTCTGTAAGGGGATGTCCAGTGGCTTACAAATGGGCTTTGGGTCTCCACTCCGCACACCCCCACTCATTCACAATGATATGATTTTTTTGTTCTTTGATGCCTGATAACTGATCCCTTTGGTACCTCATAATCACGCAGGCTGGTGCGCTTCTTCCATGTGGGCTTTGTTGCTTCTGAGCTAGATGGCTGTTTGTTTACCTTCAAGCCTGAAAGACCCCAGATGCTATATCTTTTGGTAGCTGGGCACCATGAGCTTTCTTCACCACATTTGCTTATGCACCCGCTTTGTCTTCAGCGATTATGTCAGGAAGGTGAGCATCATGGAATGCCAATTTAATAGAACAAAGTATTCTTGCATTGAGGGAATACTTGAGTGGAGGCCCAATATCCATCTGCTACCTTAATACTAAACTTATAGATATATGCAAATAGATCTATTTCCCCAACCTCATATATAAATATATCTACATATGTATGTGCCTTTATTTAGACCTCTATAAATGCCCTTTGCCTCCTAGCTCTTTCCTCTATTTCCTTTGACTTTCCTCTTGTCCCACTATCATGTTCACTCTTCATTTGGGTTTCAGTAATTCCTCTTGGTTACATTACCCTTGATCACACCCTTCCAGGCCTCCTACACCCTCCTCACCAACGATTTGGATCACTTGTTGTTCCCTTGTCCCTGGGTTTGTTAACACCACTACCTTTCCCCTCACCTCCCCCTCTCCCATGTACCCCCGGGAACTGTCGGTTCTGTTGTTTTCTCCTCCAGATTGTTCATCCAGCCTATCTTATTTAGGCAGACCTACGAAGATAATACCATGCACAAAAACAAGACACCTTTCTTTCTTCCATGGCCTTTGATTCTTCCTACTTTATTTCCTCTTCTCATTATCCATCCTCCTGTCTTGGTAGCTAAACAAAAGGTCATAGGCAGACTTATAAAAAGCCGTCGAGTCCGCACTGCAGGAGGAGGGTGAGCGTGGCCAGCTGGGGAAGGCTTGGCAAATGCTCAGTGCAACACCCGGAGACTGTTTCCATCTGTGGTTGTGAAACCTCGTTCCTGAGCTTCTGAGTCTCTTCCCCACCTCCCCACCCTCACAGGACAACCACTGAGTTTTCCCACGTATTTGGCAATACGTCCTGAAAATATCCGATTTTCAAGCTTGACTGGCTCTGAGCAGCTGCCTACCCCCCACTCCCGCAATTTTACAAATGAGGAACTTGAGGCCAAGAGAGGTTAAGTGACTTGTCAAGGGTCACAGAATTAATGAGCTGACAGGGCACCGAGACCCACATCTCCTGATCTGGTGAATAAGTGGGCTTTAAAAATCAAGACCAAGACCCTGAAGAATGAGTGTCAGAGAGTTCAATAAACCCTACAAGTTAAGTCACTGGAAACGAGAGAAAACAAATCACAAAGAAGAGAAAAGATTGGGAATGTACACAGACTAATTTCAAGTGTAAATCAAGATGTTCCCAGATAGGTTGGTTGGTTTTTCAAAGCAAATAAGCATATGACAGTTAAGGAAAGAAGGGGGTCGGGGTGCTACAGCAGGACCCTCATTCTTAAAATTTATCTCCCAACCATTTATTTCCTTCCAAGAGTTTTTATTGTACCGTCTTCTATACTTAGTGACTACTCCTTTACAGTGACCTACCGTAAGCCTCTGAGTAATCAAAAGCAGCCAGTGTTAATGTGTCCGTGCTGTCGTGTGAAGAAGGTGAAGGCTGCATTTGTGTGCAATCAGGTTAAGACTGGCTCCAACAGGAGAAAAATCCACACATATGTTGAAAAGATCTGAAAAATGCCTGTATTCCCAACCTGATTATGACTTACATTTTTGCATGGTTTGTCAAAGCAGATCACTGAAATCAAATCAAGATGTAAAATGGGATAAAGTGGTTTGCTTCTCGATTCTTCCATCCTTCCATTAATCACCGTGACCTATTGAAGAAAGGCACTCTTTCCCCTCTCACCTGAGGCAAGGTGGGACACTCCACTGGAAGTTATGCCAATTTCTATCGACTGCTGCTCAAGTTCCAAAATTAATTTTCTGCTTTCATTCCCTACATTTAAATAAAAGGTATTTTATGGCAGAATAATTTGCCATTTCCAGCAACCATCAATTCACGTTCAGTTCTCTTTCTATAAAATAAAACATTGCCAATATGATTTTTTAAAAACCTACTTACACTGGAGATTTTATAAGAACAGAATTTATTAAACTGAAAATGTAGATATAGGGACCTGAATGAGAGAGGAGCTTTCCCAGTAAGACTTGTTTAGGCCTACCCTAGATAGGAATTAAGTCAAGGTCCTCTACTGGCTCACTTGTCAGAGGCAGAAGAGTGGCAGCCCATACACACAGTCCTTTGGGCACAACTTAAAATTACTGACAGTGTCAGGCTATATTCCATTAAACACCGTAAGCTGTTGTTGGTAGCACACACAAAACACTGTGGATGCAATAAACATCGTATTTAACAAGTTAGCTGTTATCTACAAAAGTTTTGAGCCAGACGGGGACTAGGTCAAAATAAAGAATCTCAGAAGGGAGGGACAAGTGCTGGCTCTTGTTACACATAAGCATGTTTGTTATAGAAGCATTTTCAGGTTAATTTTTGCTATTAACGTAAACCACAATTGGGGGAACCAGGTTGCTGGAAGAGGGATGGGGGTAGTTATATAAACAATGCACAACAAAGAAAGTCTTTCTTTCCCATAGGTGAATACATCAGGTTTGTTTTTAGGTACAAGGTTGCAGGTTAAATGCTCTCAGCTATCCAAGAAGTGGCTTATTAGTTTTGTAAGAAAATATTTTCTTATATCTTAACTGAAAAATACCCAGTTTCAGTGAACAAAGCCATCCTTGTTAGTGAAATGCGGACCCAAAAAAACTTTGTTTCAAAACCCAGCAAGCAAAAGCAAAACTAATTCAAGAGGAAAAAGCGCTTTTCTAATGGGAGCTTCTGAATCTGGATCTAATAGTTCTCAAAGGCCATTTGGCCTCTGCAAGTCCTAAAAGTTGTGTCTTTCTCCATGAGTCACGGACATCCTCCAGGAGACAGTCTACAGCATTTATCAAAGCCATTCAACAAGCACATGTATTCTCTTCGTAGTTCATAAAGCTGCAAAAGTATGCACCAGCAGAAAGGATACAGGAAACAAAATATTTGATAAAGCAATCTTCCAAAAAACTTGTTTTTTCACTTTCCTACTTCATGCACTAGAAAGTTCTAACTTGCACACTGGCGTTATAATGTCTTAGCTGTGGCACCATGAAGGGGAGCAAGTCATGAAGGCTTTCAGAACCTCGGTGATGAAGCTGAGCCTGCAATTCAAGGTGCTGCTTCTGCTTTGCCTAGTGCCTTACTTATGGATGCATTTCCTAATTCCTAAATGGACCTAATCTTGTTATGACAGAATAACCACTGCAAGTCTGCACAATTACTACCCGGAAATGCATAAACACACACATACCAGTAGCTGTTTTCTACAAATTAGTCTCCAAACAAAAAGAAATAGCTAATTGTGGTAGCATTAAGACAACGTTCATTCCTTCCGGTGCCTAGGTAAGTTTATTTTCAGCTGTCATCTGCAACTAGTAACGATGTAGATGATTTTAAAGATGCCACAAACGTACTAAACCAAACCCCTCTGGACTGCTTCTCTCAGTGCAGCATTTGTAAAAGCCAGATCTCATACCGGTCTGCTTTTATGGTGCATTAACCCAAAACCACACACAATCACACACACACTTGCACTCTTTAAAAAACCTCGTTTGTAACCTACTCTTCTAATGATCTTTAAGATATCATGAAAATAAATGAACTATGTCCTTCATATTCTCCTCTAAGTACAAAGTAGAATCCACACACACTACCCTCCACCCCTTGGGTGATTGGCTTAATCTCTGTGGGAAAACAGGCTAGCTAGGGAGGGAGAGAACTGACAAAGCATACGGCACCCCCCAGTAACGGCCCAAACTTACCTCCTGGGCAATGCCGCATGGCCATCTTACACCTCCTGGATTCAGCAATGGTCGGACATGGGATCGTGTCTTTTGCTGGCTTTTTAACAATTTGCCGTGTTCTGGTTTCCAGGCCCCATTTAAATCCACAGGTGCGATTATTTCTGCTACAAGTTCCCCATTCGCTCCAATGGCCAACTTCACATCCTTCTAATAACAATAATAAAAAAGTGCAGATAGCAAGTTGATGCCCATTCATGCCACTGTCACCAAAGCCATATAACAACGTTTCTCTACTACGTTTTTTATTTCAGATACCAAAAATTTATGGTACAGCCTGAAAAGACCTATACTTGTTTTTCAATAACTGTAAATTATTTGAAACAAGAAACAAATGCTACCAAAAGTGAAAAAACAGCTATTACTTTCATTTTGTCTTGGTTCACTTTGGGGCAGGTGGGGGAAATCTACTGGATCATTCAAAGAGCTCTGAAATATATCACCTTCAAGAGATTCAATAGCTAAAACCTTAGAAGACACTATGTTCATACCTGGACAGTAGACATTTTCACACATCAATACAACTGCCCTCCCTATCAAACCCATAAATGTGTCCAGTTTATTAGTGTTTCTCCTTCCTAAAGCAGTACATTATGACGTTCTGGAAAATAAACACAATCAAATACTTTAAAATGTCCCTATTTCCTAGATAAACCGTTTTTATGGGGAAGGCAAGGGACCAAAGAAGTAGCAACAGACTAGAGCAGTGGTTCTCCACCTTCCTAATGCCGTGACCCTTTCATACAGTTCCTCATGTTGCGGTGACGCCCCAAACATTTTCGTTGGTACTTCATAACTGTCATTTTGCTACTGTTATGAATCCAGGCGACACCTATGAAAGGGTCGTTCAACTCCAAAAGGGGTCGTGACCCACAGGTTGAGAACCACTGGACTAGAGGGTTGGCAGGTATTAGTTTGGGTAAAGGGGAAGATAGTACTCTCTAGAGGGACAAGAGACATGAAAGGAAGGAGTAAGGTAATCTTTGCGGGGTGATGATAAGTACTTCAAATGGTTTAAAACAAAATTGATGATCTAAAATGTACACTCCCACCTAATATTCTCTTTCT